TACCCGAACTGCTGGAAACCTACAAATTAATTAAAAAGGGAACCAAATGTACCATTAGCATGCTCCAACTCGTCAAAAGAATCAAATATACTATCAGTCTTACCACTTCTGTTAACAATAACTCCACGTCTCCGCTCCCCCAGCTCAACAAATCCAAACTCCTATCAATAGTTTCGAAAATACCATTTGCATGCTCCAAGAATATTAACTACAAAAAAAAATACTATAATCAACATGATGATTAATCATTACAAATATGTAGAAAGTAGGGATTAGCAATTATTTACCTCCAAGAACAGCAAGCAACCCGGTATATACTTTCTCCCCTCAGCATTATGGTCGCAGATGCATTTGACCAATTCATTGAAGCAAAACGACGCCCAATTCTTCTTCCGAATATCGGCAACATCGAGGACAGCGTATACCGAAGATAACGAAAAGTCATCTCTTCTAGTTGGTACTAATAGCACCCCCATTACGTACAAAATAAACGTTTGAAGAAATAGATCGCCGCTATCTTTCATCTCCGACAAAGCCTTCCGCATTAAGCTTGTCGAAATCGCCTGTCGGGCACAATCAACTGTCGAATACACTCTAAATGGATTCAATTCCTCGGATCTTCGTCCCACTTCTTCACCATTCAAGATGATATCAGTACCTCCCTCAGGCACGCCCATAATTCGCTCGAAATCTTTGGCCGAAATATGGACTTTCAACCCATAAGCCTGAATTGAGCTTTCTTCCACATTAAAGCTCTTCAAAAGGATCTCCAACAACTCACGTTGGAGCATTCTTCCTTTGACTTCAAGCATACGACCAAAGCCACATCTCTTAATGGCCTCTGATTGACAAGCCTCTAAATTTGAGACTACTGAGAATACTTTCCTAGGAGAACAGCGGGTGCTAAAAATTTCATGACTCTTCGTCTTCATTATAGAACAATTTTAGCAAACTGCAAAATTAAAACAACAAAAAAATTATAAGCATGCCTTGAAACACGAATTATAAGCATGCCGAAGAGTACTAACAAAATACACAAAGCCAGAGTCGTCCACCACTGATCTAAAGAAGCAACTTTCAGTTTTCACACTTAAACACATTCGAGAAAACGTGGTTATGACAAAGTTTCATTCAAGAAAAGGATCATTTAATCATTCGGTAAACACATTCTCCAGGTAATGAGTTCAATCCTGGTTTTCAATATATGGCTTTAATCAATATTGAACAAATACAAGACTATACCAGAGCTCACAAGCACACTTGCCTCGATATCAAGTTCTAACTACCAGAAGAAATGAAAACCCCCTACATCAACACCTGAGTACACTAATTAACCATGAAATCCGCCATTGGCATATATAAATTTCACCCAAAACACCCAGCTTCCATTAAATTTCACCCAAAATGCAAATTCTCACGGCCGTGACATGAACCGTGAGAAGCAAAGAGTAGTTTTCATATCCCAGACAATCTCACGGCTTTGGTTTCAAAAATCACGGTCGTTAAACTAAGCCGTTAAACTAAAAACACCCTGATTTTTCAGTACTTCAAAGCTACTAGAGGAGTCACTTATCAGTACATCAAAGCTACTATTCTAACCTCCCAAAGCTCGATCCACCTATGAAATGATGCATCTGCATTTTTCAGCATTTGAAATACCACACCAGTACCTACCAATCCTAGTCCCATTTTCGCTCAAATGGATGTTTCGAGTGATATGACAAACGTAGCTGTTGCAGTAGCCTTGTCTAATCCGAATGCAGTAAATAGGAAACCAAACAGCTTCTTGCATGCTTAAACAAAAGGTGATCAAGTACATACTTTTGTTTTATAGAAGAGTGGACAGCAAGATCCAGAATATTCAGACACAAGATCATTGTACAGAGAGAAGAAAGGGCATCATCTCTTGACTATTTCAGGTCTCCTACATCTATGCTAATCGGTCAATCTTTATCGATGTACTTCATAATGATTTGGAGATCAGCAAGCAAGCAGATCAGTTGACAAAATATATCCCACACAACTAACCATCGCAAGATATTCGAATTAGCAACCCCCTCCAAAAAATTTAACAATATGAGAAGCAACAAGGACAAACTTTGAGCAATAGCTTAATGACTAGAGACCTCACAGAATTGAGAATGCTTCATTTCTCTTGCGTTTCCTCCTCAAGTCACCCTGATTTCATGAACTAATTCTTGACTAACACACTCAATTGCACCTTTCATGCAGCCAAGCAAGACCCTTCAATTAACAGTCCAAAATGTAATCAACAAGCAACGGTAACGACACTACAATACCAACAAGACCAAATCAACTCTTCCAAAATTTTCTCTGCAGACTCAGTTTGAAGGCAAACAACAATCCAACTTGTCTCAAGCCAAACTGAAAAGAATCAAACTTTGAGTATAAACTTTCCTATTCGATTTGCCTCCATAAAACACAAATCAAGTCTCTCCAATCAAAAAGCTAATACTGGCATGCATAAAGGAAGGAACACAATCGCTAGCTAGGTCAGATTGGAGCAACTTTTTTTGAGATCACGCATGGTTGGGAACAATAATACTGGAATGCAAGGTTCACTAGGTGAATCACGCCAAAACCAGCTGTGACCATCTCACGGGTTAATCTCACGCCCGTGAGATTAACAGATGAGCCGTGAGAAGTCCAGCATTTCAATTACACAAACACGGCTCATCTCACGGCCGTGATACTGTCGAACCCAACCCGTGAAAACCCCTGGAACTCCCCCTTTTTTAAAAAAATCTAACGGTACATCTCCCGGCCGTGAGATTTTCAGATGTGAGGCGTGTTTTTGAGTTTCAGCTGTGACCATATCACGGGTTAATCTCACGCCCGTGATATTTACAGATGAGCCGTGAGAAGTGCATTTTTACAGATGAATCTCTAATCAGAAAAACAATACTAGAATGCATAAAAGAATGAACTAATGATTAAGCATGAGGAGAAGAAGTCCAAGGTTCACTTGATGAATCACGGCATAACCTATCAATTGCATCACAATCTTGCTCTAATAGTAAACCGAAGTACTAATCACATAAACGTAGACGGAGCCAGCATTCAAACGAAATAAAAAGCTCAAATGAATGCAAAGAATCACATAAGACTAATGCAAAGCTCATGCAAAGAATCACAGAAGACAAATGCTTCGATTACCCTTTTCTAGAATACATCCACACAACAACCATACTACAAATAGTTGCTAGCTTAACCACAATGGGAACATGATTAGGACTCCTCTCCCAGCGCTCACAAAGACAAGATGAATCGCATGCTTGGAATGACGATTATGTAACTCAACAAGGCAATAGCTCTCTCGACACGTGCAACTCACACCGGTTTTCCAAGTGAAATGGAGTTTCACTTGATGAATCTCTAATCAGACAAACAATCTTGAATAACAATTCACGGCTGAAGTTAAAAGGGCAAGATTTCAGTAACTTGCCTGGAATTGAAGACTAAGATTGCAGCTCTATCACAAGAGAAATTGAATTCTGAATCCAACGTGTAGTATCTGAAAGAGTTACCAGATCAAAGTCCCTACACATAATACAAAAAGTGAAAGTGAACTCACGTAAACAGCAAAAATCATAGACAGGTTACGATTAAGGTGATGCTAATACTGCAGCTCCTTGTGGCAGTACAAAAGCATCCTAGAAGAAAGAAAGGATTCCTACTGTATTAACCATTACGTACTACGGATGGGGCATTAAGTAATTCAGGCTAGCTTTTTTCCTAGTTCATCTTCCATTATCCGCGAATCCGAGACTCAACACTTCACCTGGGATTTCACTAGCTAAATGAACTTTCCGTGGAGCACTTTTGAACTAGAATCCCCAGAAAATTGACCAAGATCCAACATTTAGATGGCTAGCAATTCTATTGTTCAGAGTCTACAAAGTTTCCAATATCTATTTGATCCTAATTACTGCTCAATATCATCAAGGATCTCTAAATTCAGCACAATAACAATCCATAGTTTGCCCATCGCTTTTCCCCAACTAAAAACAATCAAATCCCTAACCCACCACAGAAATCCAAAAGCCACGCTCAAAAAGTTCAGAAAAGAGAAGAAGAATAGCAAAAACCACCAAACGAATTTTCAAGTACCATTACTCCGGCACCGCGTGCCCCGAGTTTCGAAAGGGGAACTGCAAGAAGGGCGACGGCTGCGAGTTCGCTCACGGGGTGTTCGAGTGCTGGCTCCATCCGGCCCGCTACCGCACGCAGCCCTGCAAGGACGGGACAAATTGCAGGAGGCGTGTCTGCTTCTTCGCTCACACGCCGGAGCAGCTCCGGGTCCTGCCTCAGAGCCCGAGGAGCGTCAATTCGACCGAGTCGTACGATGGGTCGCCGTTTCGGCAGGCGATTGAGGCTTCCTGTGCTCGGACTCTGCCGTTCGTGACCTCGCCGGGCTCTGTTTCGCCGCCAGAGACCGACTCCCCGCCGATGTCTCCGATGACGACTCAGCAGCACGTGCTGAGCCGCTCGCTGGGTTCGAGCTCGATCAACGAGATGGTGGCTTCTCTCAGGAACTTGCAGCTCGGTAAGGTGAAATCAGACTTCTACTTGGATGGGTGGCGGCGGAGGAGGCGGATCTGGGTACGGGTCTCCGCGAGCCGGGTCGATCCTCCGACCCGGGTTCTGCAGCGTGCCGACGACTCCGACCCCCAAAACGCCGAGCGGGCTCGGCTACTCTGCTGATTTCTGGGACAAAGTGTGCGAGGAGGATCGAAGGAAGAGGGGTTTCGGCGGTGAGAAGAAGAGTGTAATTGGTTTTGAAGGAAGAAGAGTGTAACCGGTTGTACCGGTTATCAACACACAAATAAAATAATAAAATAATAATTTAAATGAAATCTAATGGTTGATATAGTTTGGACATGATCTAATGGCTGTAAATGTTTTATAGTACCAATACTATAAAGCACACTAAAATGCCTCATACACAGTTCTTCTTTCTTCTTCTTCTTTTTACTTATTTAAAAACAAAAATACCATCTCAGTCTTGAAATAGAGGTACCTCTAATGTCCGAAAAGTTATTTGTGGAAAGATCGAGATGTTTTAGTTGTGAAAGCATCCCCAAAGATGGCAATATGTCATCGCTAAGCTCGTTGTCACTTAAGTCTAACTTCTCCAAGTTACTTAGTGTCGACAATTTCTCAAGCCCTGCATGCACCCAACAATATAAATAAAACACCTCAATATCCATGTCTTTCCCAACGCTATTGTGGGTCGGGCAGATAATACCCGCGTTGGTACGGGGAAGGACGGAGCGAGTCGACTCACTCTTACATGTTACATGAAGAAAAAATATGCAAAATTTTAGTTTTTACGATAAAACGAAGGGGAAAACACTTTATGAATATAATGAAAACTAGTGATAATAGGACAGGTAATTAAGTCTAACTAGCTGAAAGGTTGAGTCTAACTAGTTGAAGATTTCAAAATATATTAGAAATATGAATAGATACGGTAAGTATACGAGGTAAAAAACGAGAAGGAACGGGGCAGGAGGGATCAGAAATAGATAACCATGTCCCGACTCACACTACTGCGAGTCGAGTAATACCCATAAAGCGGGTTCAAATTGCCATCACTAGTCGACGGAATGGTGAGTCAAAATCAAACCTTCGTTCCGCAGGCAACCAGCAAGGCCACTGGCAGGCAGTGAAATACTCCTCATTTCTTTGAAAGGAAGGAACAGAGATGCATTCAAATACCACCTTCTTGGCCCGCGAAGGGATGCAGGGAGTTCGTAAGAAGCAAAGAAATGGGTTATCCTCCCTGAGTTGGGATCGCAGGCGATTCCTTCCCAATCGCAACACTCGCCGTCAGCTGATTTGTTGCTGCGACTTCCTCCTCCACCGCCGGCGGCGGCCCAATGGCTAACCAGATCAAGGAAAGAGACCTGGATTTGCGAGAGACCGATTCTCTCTTCTTCCCAGCAACCAATACAGCCATTCCACTCTGTCATCACAAATGATGTCGCCAACAGTACTAAGGCAATTGACCTGATCTCCATCTCTCTCTCTCTCTCTCTCTCTCTCTCTCTCGTTGTGTGTCTCAAATATTTGATGAGTTGGGGGTATTTATATATATCGCCATGGAAAGGGTAGGTTTTGTACGTTTGTCCTCTAATCTTTTGTTTGTTTCAATCTGTCTTTTGTCTGTTGTTTGCTTCTTTCTCGTTCCGTTCTGCCTTGTTAATTATTTATGTTTGATGGTGGATGGGGGTTCTCGGATGTCTTAAATCATATTAAAGGGCTTCAAAGAAAAAAGTCATACCCACGTCAATTTTGGACATTTACTGTGAACTAGTTTGGTGTCCAGTTGAAATGTGTTTTTAAAGTTTTTAAAATATTTGAAATGTGTATTTTTACTCAGCAGCTAATTTAGTGGTTAAAATTGAAATAAAAAACTATGAAAAATGAAATATCAAACACATAAGAAATACTGGGAACGGATCAGGTGAGTAACCTTATGGTGAGTAATTATGAGTAACCTGTGCACATCAGCATGACATCAACGTCATTCTCTCTCCTGGAAAGTCTTTAATTTTCCCCTCCTTAATCTTTGACGGACGATTTCTCACTCGTTTTAAGTCAATTTTTTTTTACACAGTTAGATCAGATTAATTGTGCTCTTCAAAATGATATTCACTTTGATATATTTTTCGAACAAAAAAAATTGAGTCATTTTTTACCAGTATACCATATGGTATTGACTGGTATTGGAATAAGAGCATACCTATGGTTTGAAAAGCGTACCATGGTGGTATAAACAAACCAAGACTGTAGGATGGTTGAATACATGATAGTAGAGGTATATTAACTGTCATTTACAACTTTTAACATTGTGTACCACAAGATACCACCCCATACCAGGGTGGTATTGTATGGTATTGTGTGGTATTTTTTGATCCTGTAATTTGTTCACCCAGAAATTTGTAGATCCAATAGATCATGATGAACTCGTCCCTTCTGTGCAAATGTTTTCAAAAACGAATTAAAAACGAAGAAGATACCATATGGTATGCAGTTGGTACCGAGAGGCCATAATTTTTTTTCTTCAAAAAATATTGAAAATTGATCTCATTTTGTAGAGCACGATGAACTCGTTCCATCTGTGCAAAAAAAAAAAAAAAAATCCGAGTTAAAACGAAAAAGATATGAGCCGATAAAGAAAGCTAAGAAAAATAAAAATGGTCTTTAATTCTCCATCCTTAGATCTGGATTTTCTAAATGAAGGGTCCAGATTTGGTTATTGATGGGTGCATAACCAGGAGTTAGTAGTAGGAGGGGGGGGGGATTACATTACTTGGTATAACAAGACCCCTTTCATCATCTTTAAGAAAACCAATAAGCTGCTTTGAAGGATTAAACAGTTCATGTATACCGCAGGTATAGTCGAGACTGTGCTTCGAGAGCCAGTCAACAACTCCATTTCCTTCCCAGTATGTATGCACCAAGTTAACCAACCAGTCTTGAACCAAGAGTCGCCAGATGGATTTCAGAAGCGTCGCAGAAGGGGTGAACCAGGTATGTTTCGTGATGATAAGATCAATCGCTACCTTAGCGCTGATTCGAAGATGAGAAGTCTATGTCCGTGTCTCCAAGCCATCTCTAGACCTTGCTTAAAAGCCCACAACTCAGCTTGAGTTGCCGAGCACTCTCATATGTTGCAACAAAAGCCGCCGATCCAATGTCTTCGAGCGTTCTGAAAAATCCCCGCTGTTGTCGCTTTACCTGGGTTTTCTTAGCCCGCCCCATCCATATTTAGTTTACAGATCTATAATAAATTTGTAGAGACCATGATTCAACTCTCACGATTGATGTATTTTTTTTATGAATAAGAAATAAATAACTATTGAGACAAATCTAACCTTACTGGGTATAACAAGTCCCCTTTCATCATCTTTAAGAAAAACCAATAAGTTGCGTTGAAGGATTAAATAGCTCATGTATACCGTAGGGATAGATGAGACTGTGCTTCGAGAGCCAGTCAATAACTCTATTTCCTTCCCAGTATGTATGCACCACATTAACCAACCAGTCTTGAACTAAGAGCCGCCAGATGGAATTCAGAAGTGCCGCATAATAGGGTGGGCATCCGGTTCGGTAAATCGGAACCGAACCGAGCCCAAACTGAATTGAGCCGAACCGAAACAGACCTTTTGTTATCCGGTTCGAAATTTGGAAGAGTAATATGGGTAATTTGGAAACCAAGGTTCTCTCAACCGAACCGAGGTTCCAAATTCTGAACCGAAAACCAAAAAATTGCCCCAATAGTTGACATGTCATGAACCCCAAGCCCAAACCCAAGCCCAAAAGGCCCTTTGCCTATTGAAACCCTAGCCCAGTCACATCCCCCTATCGGCCCATCCCGCAAAGTGCAAACCCTAGCCCAGACCTAACGCACTATCATCCCATCCCGTCTCACAACACAGCAGGCGCAGTCGCCGCCGTCAGCCATTCCCCTCCTTCCCCTGTCTCTTGGCTCTCCCTCTTCGGCGACTGACACCATCAAGCCACCACCTCCGCCGTCTTCTCCATCATGCTCTTCCACCTCCTTCATCACCGAGATAAACTTCATCATTGAAGTTATCTCCACCTGAATCGAAAATAGAGGAGATGACATTGAAGCTCGAAGGAGAATACAAACCAAAAAAATGTCATACATGCTTGGATTTGAACTCGTGCGAAGCTTCATCATTGAAGTTATCATCATTGTCATCGTCAATTGCCACCTATCGGCGTCCTTCGATTGGATTTCTTCATTTTTGAACCCTTAAAGATCCGCATTGCTTCGAGACTAGAGTCAGAGATCTCTACCGTCGCTATCGTGGCAAATGCGTTGTGCTTGCCATCGCCGGTCACCTCCAGCTCGTTAATTGGTTGGAGGGAGAGAGAGGGGGAAGATCAGAGGATTCAGTTGCATTGTGCTCGCCATCGCCGGTCGTCGTCGCCTTGTTAGTTGGTTGGAGGGAGAGAGATGGTGGAAGATCGGAGGAGTCAGGGAGAAGTGAGAAGGGAGAAAAAGAGAGAGGGAGTAATTGAGGAGTCAGGGAGAAGTGAGAAGATAGGGTAAATTGAGGCCTCCATCCGTTTTGCCCAGCGGCAGGAGCCAAAACACAAGAGTCAATAGGGAAAAACACAAAGAGCTGCCAGTTTTGGTTTTGAGGGGAAATCCGAACAGAGTTATGATTCGGTTCGAATTCGGGTTGACTTGTGGATGGAATCCGAACCCCGGTAGTAGTCTGTTCGGTTTGAACCAAACCGACTGAATGCCCACTGACTCGCTGTGACACAACTCCTAACAATGGCTAAGTGTAACCAATGAAAGGGGCTGCAGTATAGTGGCTCAAGTAATAAATATCGAGTCCACGGGTTTCTAGAGTTACTATTACTCAACTTCAGTTTATTATCTAGCACACCAGATTAAGATGGAAGAACTAAAACTACTCTAACAAACTACAGTTAAAGTTAATCTAATTACAGGTTGGGAACTCACTTAGGTATGATTCCCCTAGCTACTAGCCATATTAATGATTGATGATTTCTAACTTGTTTCACTTTCATTCACAATGCGGAGAATCCTTGACTAGACCTTGAATCTCAACTAAAGGATCAAGGCCCTCTTGAGTCGATTGCCTAGAGGGACGTATCCTTCTCTAGAACAACCGATCAAGGCGTTCTAAACTAGACTCCCTCTATCGAATGAGGTTCTTAATCAATACAAAGCAGTGAATCGACCATCGACTAAAGCAATCGATCCAATACTATCAATCTATGGTGCTCTATTGACCTAATCAGGTATTCGCTCTCATAGGATCAAAGCAGAATCAATAATCTTGACTAAAGCAGAATTGAATCATGAAAACGTGCATAGATTGAATATGAACTCAAGATTATCAAGTAGGAGTACTCATACAATCATCCAATCAAACAAACATAGATAGGGTTCCTCAAAACCTAAGTGAAGGGAAGTTACTCCATAGAGAAGAGAGAGACTGCAGTAAGAATATTCAGATGATCAGTCTTCAAGTCCGGGCTTGTTCCTCGAGTTTACAAGGCGAAGAAATCCCCCTCTCTCTCTTTGGTTCGTCCCTTGGGTGTTTGGGATAAAAAAACCCAGTTCTCCCCTTCCCAAAACGCACAAAACATGCTTTTAACAGCCTGCGTTCGCAACCCGGTCGGGTATTTTGGGTACCCGGCCGGGTATTTTTTGTTCACGACCGGGGGGCCTTCTGATGTTGTCAAAAATACCCTATCAGATGGTCAAAATACCCGGTCGGGTATTTTGCAGTTCCGGATCCCCTATCTTTGATTCTTTGTTTCTCCCTCGTTCGCACTCCAAATCAGGTGTCGTTTGATCGTAGACGCTCGTAGTCTCGTCCTATTTCTTATCATGACAAGCTTACATGATTCTATGGTCACAAACTGAGTTAGTAATCTATTATTCTTCAAGTCATACCCGAGTTTCTTCCCCCGAGTCGCCAATTGATCTCCAATTGACTTGAAACTTGCGCCTACGCTTTACTTTATGTGATAGGACCTGAAATGTGATAAAAGAACAAAACCTAGCGTAAAATAGGCCAAAGAAGCGATAATGCAAGCTTAAAAGATCAAGAAACAAAGGGGAAAACATGTGCTAATATCAAGTCATCACCCACCCCTACCGCATAAGGGGTGAACCAGGTCTGTTTTGTGATGGATAAGATTAATCTCTGCCTGAGCGCTGATTCGACAATGAGAAGTCTATGTCCGTGTCTTCAAGCCATCTCTAGACATTGATTAACCCACAACTCAGCCTGAGTTGCCGAGCACTCTCATATGTTGCAACAAAAGCCGCTGATCCAATGCCTTTGAGTGTTCTGAAAAATCCCCGTTGTTGTTGCTTTACCTGGGTTTTCCTGGCCCGCGCCATCAATATTTAGTTTATAGATCTATAATAAATTTTTTTAGTGTAATTGATAATGATTCATGTCCTTATTTAAAGAGACCATGATTCAACTCTCACGAT